CTCCCAATTATTTGTTTGTTAGGAGCGGGAACTAGCGACCAAGTCCCTTGTTGTATAAGGGCTTGATATTCTTTGGACATTGCCTCTTGCCATTGGTTTTGTTTTGCGGCTTGTTTGAATGTGGCGGGAGTATCTTGGTATGTTGTTTTGCTGAGCAGAGAGAAGAACTGCTTTGGTTTAATTATACCTGATTTGGACCTTGTTTGCATTGGGTGAGGGATGTGGGCTGGTGCAGATGTATCGACTGGAAGGTGAGACTGCATAATGTCGGGCTGCGGCGGTTGGGTAGGCTGAGGAGGAGCTGTGATATTGGTGTTAGTCTTGGATCGAGTTACCGTTGCTGAAGAGCTGGGTTTGGAAATAGCTGAGGGTGGGACGAGAAGCAGAGGAGGTAGGTTGTTTCCTGTGTGCTGTCTGTTACCCGTGTGAGGAGGGGTATTGTTTTTCAGAGGAAACGTGTCTTCTTGGAAGATAACATGCCGTGAAATGTACATTTTGTTGTTGGATAAATGGTAGCATTTGCATCCTTTATGCTGCGGAGAGTACCCGAGAAACAGGCATGGGTGAGATCTTGGTGCGAGTTTGTTTGGGGCATACGGTTGAAGCCACGGATAACATAAGCATCCGAAAGTTCTGAGGTGCGTGTAGTCCGGTGGAACGTTATGCAGTTTTTCGTAAGGAGACTGAAGTGCAAGAGCCTTGGACGGAAGGCGATTAATCAGGAAGTTTGCTGTGGAGATGGCCTCGGTCCAGAATTTGTCCGGTAAGCCTGATTCGTTGAGCAAGGTGCGAGTGAGGTCGAGTAGATGACGATGCTTGCGTTCGGCCATGCCATTCTGTTCCGGCGTGTGGGGGCAGCTGAGCTGTTGAAGGATGTCGTGCTGATTAAGAAAGGAGATGAACTCTGTTCCGGTATACTCGCCACCTCCGTCCGATCAAAGGTGCTTGGGAGTTACCGAGAATTGAGTTTGTATCATATGTACTAGAGATTTAAACTAATGAAGAGTTTCTTGTTTTGTTTGTAAGAAATAAAGCCAACTAAAACGTGTGAAATCATCAATGAAAACAGCATAGTAACGAAATTTACTAGAGCAAGAAGTATTAATCGGCCCCCATACATCCGAATGTATTAATTCAAACGGATGTGTGGTGGCAGTTTGACTATTGCTGAATTTAAGTTTGTGGCTTTTCGCCATATTACAAGATTGACATTTGAAGTCGGAAGAAATATGCGGGATAAGAGGGTTGTTTTTAACAAGATTGTTGAAAGTCTTGTTGTTCGGATGCCCGAGACGGGCATGCCAAGTGGTCGGAGAGATGATGACCGCTTGAAGAGCTTGATGGCAGTGATCCGGTTCGATCTTGATTTGGTAGATGCCATTATGCAGATGACCACGAAGGAGAAGCTGCTGATCCTGAACATCCTTAATTTCGAAACCGTTAGAGTTAAAAGTAATAGATACAGAATTATCTTGGGTTAATTTGGAAACATAGAGTAAATTGTGAGTGAGGGCAGGGACATGAAGGAGATTACACAGGCGAAGCTTACGCGGTGTGTTTGGTAGTGGTAGCAAACCTTGTCCATAATTTTGAATGGGAATGGTGGAGCCGCTGGCTGTCGACACAGAATCTTGTCCCTGGTAGACCGAGGGATGCTAGATGGATAAACTGTCAGCAGTCATGTGCGCGGTGGCTCCCGAGTCCATTACCCAAGTTTGGGTCGTATCTTGAGTTGGTTGAGTAAGAAGAGCGCGAAGAGCGCGCGGAACGAAGGAGTTGGGTGGAGTGTAATTCAGATTGCACCGATGCCAGCAATGGACGGCGATATGACCGACTTTACCGCATATTTGGCAGACGGGTCGATTGCCAGAGGAGTTTTGCGGAAGATTTGTTTGCTCGGGTGTGCTTGAGGATTTGTTGAAAGTTGGGCGAGACTTGAAGTTTCGTTTTGAGTTCTTGGAACGATTTTGGTTGGAGGTGGTCGTGTAGTAAGCTGCAGCGATCGGAGATTGTTCTTTCTTTAAATCTTGTTTGACGTGGATTTCTTCACTACACAGAAGTGAATAAAGCGCATCCAGATCAGCCGGAGACGACGACGAACGGATGTAAGTCTTGATTGAGTTGTAACTGGTCGGTAGACCGTTCAGGATATGAAGAACAATATCTTCCGGATCAACAGTGCTTCATGAGGCGGCGATGGTGTCGACGATGTTCTTGACTTTGGCGAGGTATTGCTGCATCGTAGAGGTGTCCATTTGAATGTGGTGCAACTCATTCTTGAGTTGGATTATGCGGGAACGACTCGAAGATTGAAGCCGTCGTTCAAGAACTGTCCACACTTCTGGGCTGTGGACGAGGTGATGACGTATGGCAGGATTGTGGTGGAGATTGTAGAGAAGAGCGCGGAGACGAGGTTACTGTCAATTAGGTGCCATTTTGCATAGTCGACAGAAGTGCGATCCGGCGGAGGAGTTGTATTTCCGGTGAGATGATCCTCATAGCCGTTAGCCGAGAGGTGTTGATAGATTTGCGACCTCCAGAGAGCATATTTGTCGGTCGTTAGAGAGTAAGAGATCAGATTCTTGATATTAGAGATGATGAATTTGAGGGATGGTGGGAGAACCAGCTCGGCGGAGGGAGAAGGGGTCACAGTGGACGCCGGGGGAGGGGATGAGGATGAATCTTGATCCCCCATTCTAGCTCACTGATACCATGTGAGAGAATGAAAGACGAGGAAGGATACGAAGAGAACAGAGAGCGGGAAATAGTTTTTTGGAAAATGAAATTATGTATATTGTTAGAAGAGCAGTTTACAGAGTATTTATAACAAATATTACAGGTGTAATTTAAATAACTGGTATGGGACAATTGTATTGCTTATTCCGCTGACACTAGTTTCCCTATGACCAAGCTTGTGCAAGTACCACTTTCCATCTGCCCCATTAGAATTGCTGAAACTAAGATTGAGCCTAAGATATATAAGTAATCCAAGTCTAAACCTGAAAGTATGAACCTAAGATATATAAGTAATCAATATGCAAGGAATACGAGCTTCTTTTCAAGGAAGGAGATTAATAAGATGTCAGTCATAGTATTAAGCTAATTGTCAAAGACGAGAGCTTTAATGGTGGCTACAAAGAAACCTAGTTGGCCATAAAAGGTGAGTGAGACAGTGCGGACCAGTCAAAGAAGAGTCTGCCCGAATAGAATTTGTTTAGGCATGAAGAGCATGTGATCTGACAGAATCTTGAGTTAAACTGAGAATCTAATTAATCAATTTTTAGCACAATAAATCCTAAAAGTTCCAAGCACTCAGTATCCTAGTTTAAGCATGAGAATCCTTGTCACAATTCAAAGAAGATCCAATTGATTTTAATTTTTGGACATTAAATGAGGGCAAAATCAATGACACCAGGTGAAGCTGAAACCATTGGATTAGGGAAAGATCAAAATAAAATTGATCTTTGCGAGCATATAAGGGCACATTGGTTGCACCTTTGTGTGAACAAGTGGGGCATGTTGATGGCACCCTAGGCCCGTTTAAGTCCTAACTCGACCAAGTCAATCTTTACATAACCTTTAGATGTCTGTGGATCAAACAAGCCAATATGAGCATGTTTTGTCACTAGTTTGATCTTTTGTACGTGTACATGGATCTACACTTCACCTTAAAATGTATAATTCATTTGATTTCTAAATAACACAATAAAGTTTTCACAAGCCAGTAAATCGCATCCAAACTTTTTTATCCTTCAACAGAAGACAAATTGAGGTTTATATATTGGGGGTTTTACGCACATAACACTCAAAACTACCAAATTTACATATTTAAGATATAACCCTTGCTATTTACTTATTTTTATCACTACATTAACCCCTATAACCATGTTTCGCTGATGTGAGGAAGTTATGACATGATCACATAGGGGAGGGGCATTCAGGATCAGCAGCATGTGCAGTTTGACAATGATGAAGAAGTGAAAAAAAATTGTGACAAGATCTCACTAGGGAAGGCCATCAACTGGACAGAACAACATATGCAGGAGTCCTAAAAACCCTCAATGATGAAGAAAGGGAGAGGGGCCGCAATAGATCTCGTTGGAGTGTTTAGTAGTCTCGAAACCCTCAATGACAAAAAAGAGTTGAGGAAGTCACAACAGGGAAAGTTAATGGGAAGTTGCCAAGTTGGTATTTTTTATGTTACTTAAAAGAATTGAGTCCGATGAGTAAATAGTAAAGTTTAATTGTTGAATATGTAATTCGATAATTTTTTAGTGTTATGCATGTAAATACTCCTTACAAATTCTCTTAAGTGTTTTTTTGGTTGCACGCATCAGAAGTGCAGAGTAAAAAAATTGTTGGGACTTTATAATTTTAGTTGTTTGATTGGAGGGAAAAACAAATTCAAAATAAAGTATTAAGGGGCATGAAACTCAACCCATAGATCATTTTCAATGTATTTGAAATTTGCCCAAATCAGCTAAATTCCAAATACACCTCATTCGTGACCCCATTGTTGTTCCGCACTGCACCATGCACGCAAATCCTTTGACCTAACGCCAATGGCTACCCGCAAATCCTCTGCATATGAGTTCGGGCAAGATTGCCATCTTCTCCCTCTCTGGCGACAACTGCAAACCATCAAACGTTGGCTGCTCGCAAAGCCTTGCACAAGATCGGGCTAACACCATGACCTCCTCCTCTCTGATGACCTCCGACTGAGTCCCGCAAGGCCGTAACCCGTTGATCACAATCCCATGAATCCCACTGATGCCCCAGGTTGGTTCATAAATTAGATTCAACTAACTTTCAATCAAACAACTCGTAAGTATTTCAAATACTTCGCATTCATTTTACACTTACCACTAAATGCTAAATACTTGCAGCCAAACAACACCTTAAGTACTGACAAGTCAAAAAATTTTAATCTTTTAACAACCAGAAATCAAAATTGGACTAATAACAAGCCCTAACAAAGGACCAGACAAAGCTCAACTCACCTTAGTCCCGCACTGCCGCACGATGATGGCCCCCGGCTTCGCTGCCTGATCGCCGTAAATCTTGACGCCAAGCCGCTTCCCCCTCGAATCCCGTCCATTCTTCGTGCTTCCGGCACCCTTCTTATGAGCTGACTCAATTGTCATCGGCAACCTCGCCGGACATGTGACGGCAGCGCCACTCCCGGCCATAGACTGCTTCGCGTCTCCTCGTAGAAACGAAGACGACGAGCTCGAAAGCGAGAGGCCTTTGAAGGTTCCGATCAAGTTCAAAGACACTGTAGCCATCTCTGTCTCTCAAAGGCGAAAGAACAAAAAATGGAGAGAGAGGAGAAGATAAGGTGAGGCCCCCCTGATGGGCTTCGGAATTCTTTGGACACGGCCCGAAGAGGGAATTAACCCGGCCCAATAAAAAACTGAAATGTGAACAGCATTTTGAAACTGGATTTGCATTTTTTTAGGGGTTGTTTAATCTGAGGAAAAGTAAATGTAAAATATAGTAAATAATTTGATTTTTTATTTTGCAGAGTTTGGTTGGTCATGAAGTAAAATAAATTTCAGATGTATTCGTAGCTCATCACATTAATTCATTTGTATTCATAGCTCATCACATTAATTCATTTTCTGTGTAAAATGAACACGTTCAAAACCGAGCGAAACAGGAATTCCAAGGGCGAGAGAGAATAGCCCATGGAACACATTTTTGCTTCTTCCTCCTTCGGCGGGAACCATTGTCAAGGTACCCAAGAGTGGAGACCTCAGTCTTTGCTGCCTTCCGTCAATGAAATCACATCACTCTACGATTCGGCCTCATTGTTGATCTTCGACTCTATTTTTTGACTTCGCACGCAGGAAAATCCATTTGGCTCCATTGTTGTTGTTCGACTATGTTGCCTTAAGCCCGTGAAATTACACCTTTCCTATGAGCACACAAGGGCCTAACGATCCGCATGATTTTTCAGACTCGTCCATAGCTACTTCGAAGCGGCGGATGGGGTTGGCCTGATCAAAGCGGCGGCCTAGATGAGCCTTCATTGCTCCAATGTATGCCACTCCGTGCGGGAACCTAGAGCCGTAAGATGGCCGGACCACCTTGTGCGTGAACATGGAGCTGCAATGTGAAACCATTAAAAATTTTTAAATTGTTTTTAACCTCGAAAAATTAATAATTATTGTAGAAACTCAAGACTTCATTTCAGAGAACCAAGAGTAATCAAGAAGAAGACAAGAAGATAAATGTAAATGTATTATTTCATTTTCCTAGTACAGCAGCACCTGTAGGTATATATAGACATTTGTTTATATGTTACTGCCTACGTGTACAACTAGACTAAGATACACAGAATTATATTAACATTAAGTATTTACTGTGCTAACAATTATTTCAGGAATCAATATAGTACAAATCACAAACCATCGCTCCAACTTTTTCTTGATGTTTGGCCACTAGTGAAATTTTATTATAATATCCTAATCCACTATTCTATATGATCAAAGTTTTGTCTTTTTATTTTTTTCCCAAAAAAAGAAATGCTAAGGAAAAAATAAGAGAAAAAGAGAGAAGAGAAAAAAATAAAAATATGATTTTGTAGGTCTTAGAGCCATTTTTGTCTGGGCTTCTGCCCAGTTGAATAAATTTTTTGTGTCAAAAAAAGTCGCATGATGTTCATCTCAATTTTCAAAAATACATAATTTTTTTAAAAAAATTCAATTAAAATTTTTTTTCATTAGCTAAAAACGAGGATAACTTTGCACTGCAAAATTTTTACCTCGTAACTTTTTATATGTTATAGAGATTGCGATTATGCATATTTTGAATATTTTTTAAAAATTTTGTAATGACGGATTTGAAATTTGTGATATTTTTATTGAATAGAAAATTATCTATATGTTGAAAAGTAGTATTTTGGCACAATAAAGTCTCAAAATATTTTTTTACACAATCATTAATAATTTGACTATTTCTGAAAATGTGCATTTTGTCTAGTAGAATTTTCTATTGTCTATTGTTATATAATATTGTACAATTATGACATATGCTCGATTGTTCTTTAACTGTTATAATGAGATAATATATGTGCATGAGATTATATTATATTTGTTGGGAGATATAAGGGGCTAGAATCCTCTCAGATTTTGTGTGTCACGAAATTGCATAAAGCTATAAGGAACCAGCTTCCTTTTAGATTATGTCTAAGATAGAGACATGCGATATATTTGATGTTATAAGCACAAAAAGGGTGTCATAAGGGGCTATAATCCTTTAAAGTTCTATGTAAGTCCGAAAAATATGACATGAACTGATCTATGATATACATTATAATTTGTTTATCTACTAAGCATTATTATTTAAATAATTAGATTACTGGTATGTTTCTATTACATTTCTCAATACAGTGATTTGTTATATTGTATTTAAATGCTTTTAGATATTCAACAATATTTAATAAGTAATTTTGAAAATTTAAAATTTAATTTATGTGGCCTACTAAGTTGTTATAGCTCATTGTGGTGTTGCTTCTGATTTTTAGGATATGGGAAGAGGAAGGAGATTATGGATTTATAGTTCATGATTAGATATGATATTATAAGTATTTCTTTATTTTAATTTTTATATAGTTGTGATTAGTTTATTATTCAATTTTGTAGCTCAGTATGTAGCCATGCATTATAGTGTAGATATATATTTTAATGAAATAAAAGAAACATAGTTGATGAGGTTATTTTTAGTATTTAAATATTTTAGTAGCTCTATAGTCTGTAGTTTATTTTAAATAATTATTAGTAGAAAATCTGAAATAATTCTAAAACTAGATCTTGGAATTTATTTGTCACAACTCAAAATGATAGAAAATGTTCTGAGCAAGTTGGATTGTGATAAGTATTTGTGATATCAGAGCAATAATTTTGAAATTATATGGTAGATTAAAGTTATAAAAATTGATATGTGAGTATAATGGGGTAGTTTTGAATCTGTGAGGGCATTTATTATTATTTGTTTCATGTATATATATATTTAGTTGCATATTATGTTTGATTATGGATCTGTCATATCCAGACATGACAGTTAGATAGAGTGCTAGTCAGATAGCTCATATACATTATATTATTCTGATAGTTGGTTCATATACAATTTTGTAATTTGATACTCTGATAATCTAAATGATTGGTGAGGCATAAAGTAGGGGTTCCTGCTATGAGATCTGATGAGATAGACAAATATCTACATATTTTTCTAAGATTGAATCCTTTAAGGTTTGAGGGTTCAGTTGAGCCCAGAGCAAAAAAGGACTTGTTGAGGAGGCTGGAGAAGACATTTAATGGTATGTAATGTCCTCCTAAGAGGGAGGTATCATTAGCAGTCTTTCTATTATATGGCGAGGTGGAGTGCTGGTGGATGGGCAAAAAAGGGGAGAAATTTTGAGGAAGATTAAATTCTATGATTACCTAGGAGGAGTTCTCTGATGTATTTCGAGCTTGGTTTGTACCACCTTCTTCACAATAACAGATGTATGACACTTTTTTTAGGCTGGTTCAGGGGAGTGTGCTAGTTATGCAGTACAAGGAAGAGTTTATTGCTTTGATCAAACATGTGTTTCAAATCTATTTTCATGACTTATGTTTTAATGATTGACAAACACTCTTGATTCTCTTGGACTGCATGTTGCTTCTAACTTTTCAGGAATCGAAGATCGGACGAACAAACGAAACCAGTTCAAGATTGCGTAGGTTTAGGGTTGAGTCAGTCTGT